GCCTCGGCGGGGGGCGGGGGGAGGGGGGGAGCCGCGGAGGCGGGGGTTGGGGAGCTGGTGTGTCTGTGGGGAGGGCGGGAGCAGCGGCTGCAGCAGCAGCAGGAGGAGCGGGGGCTGCTGCTCCGGGGCGGGGGGGTCCTGCAGCCACACGGAGGCCCCGGCGCATTGCACTGAACCTCGGGAGCCGAGCCGGGCCTCTGCAGGGGGAGAGGAGGAGCAGGGGTCTGAAGGGAAAGACAGAGACCCTAGCAAGGGAGACGGGAGATGCTGTGGTAGACGGAGAGAGAAAGCCCAGCAAGTGGGAAATCCTAAGCAGAGATCAGAAGAAGAAAGAGGTCGGAGAGAAATCCCAGCAAAAGACAGTGGAAGCCTAGCAAGAAAGAAACCCTCCTAAGAGGAGTCTCCCAAGCAAAAGAGCCTATGAAAAAAATCTCAATAAGAGAGATCCCAGGCAGAGAGCGATCACCAAGCGTAAGAAGACAAAGCACTAGTCAATGTACAGTAAGTACCAGTCCTTCGCTGGCCCCAAAGACATGGACTGGATGAAACCTGAGTAGACCTTCTTTCTAATTTAACTTTTCCGATGCTATGAGATAGATTGGCACAATTCCAGTAGAAAAGACCCGAGAAAGCTTCCCGAGTGGCGCTAGAAAGATCAAAGCAAAAAGGAATATTGTGAGGATCTCTTTAGAATAGAGTGCAGAGAGAAAGCAAGAGGGAGGGAGACATACCACCACGTACCCGCAGGAGAAGGGAGGACACAGGAGAGAAATCACAGAGTAAAGGCATTATGATCCCATCAGAAGAGGTCTGAGAGGGAGCCATCATCCTGGACATCCTCAGTTCTCTGTTGAGAGATCGTAGGAAAGAGAGAAGCAAACCAGGTATTTTTGCTGAGTGACATTTCAACTCATTTTTATGGGGAAGGAGGTTTGTGCTGTTTAAAATCCTGTGTTAGTGGGGCTGGAAGGGAGTGTTCAGATTTCCCTCTTCTGTCAGATGCTAGATGCAAGTAGGGAGGGGAGAGATGAGCTGTATGAAATCAGGTCATGGTTTTGCTGCTGCACAGCTGGGCTCATGGCTATTACAAGCACAAGATGATATTTCTCCCACATGCATGGCTCAGTTTGCTTGTTTCTGGCTATTTTTTTTTTTTACTTTCTCTGTAGCTCTTTCAAGAGCATCTGCTAAGTGCTTTCTTTGGTTTTCCTGAGGGAGGAAGCAAGATTTGGACCTGATTTACCCCTGGTGTAACTCTGCTGAAGTTGATGGAATTACAGTAAGAATGCCTTTGTCCCTTCCACGTACATGTAGGTTGTTAAATGGGCCTGCAGTGTATATGTGTGTTTGTGGGGAAGGAAGGCCATAGTAGGAGTTAAAATTAACTTACTTCCTGAGCGTGGTGGAAATTGCCCTAAGGGACAACATCTGCCCGAAAGTATGGATTGTGACAGGTAACCTCACATTTACTCCATGGTCCCAGTGACATGATCTAACTTCATCTAAAGTCTCATCTCCTGTACCCATCTCCCTTGGTTGGGAAGATCTCGTACATCTTCTCACTATATAGCTGTAGGAGGGAGCAAGACAGAGAGTGAAAGAGTGCCCCACGAGGGGAATCCCTCAGTAGCCCTATCATTGGTTAATTTTGCTGGGGTTGGGAGGGAGAGACTAAATGCAAATAGCTTAATAGCTGAAGCAGAAGGTAGTGGTGATGGGGGAGCTGCCTCCAGCCGTCTCTCCTGTCTGACACTGCTTTCTCTCCCCATGCCCATGCTGGGATACCACCTCAGCTGGGGAGAAATGGGGAGCTGCCTTTCTCTTCACTGTGGTGAGGTTCTTATCAGAATTCTAGAAACTAGACCTGAAAAGCTCTGTATGAACAGAGCGAATCCATCTTCCTCACCTTCCTCCAGCCCTCCCACCACTGCCACAGCAAGATTGTACCCTCCTACCTATTCCCCTCCTGAGATTTTCCTAGGGCAACTATTCCATGGTCCAATCAGTCTTTGCTCTTACATGTTTCCTGAGCTCTAGCCTGAAAATATCACCCTGGCTTAACATTTATCCCATAGTTTAAACTCCTTGTATCTCCCTAAACATTTCTGCCTGTGGATGTTGGCAGGCCTCAAATACTTGCTCTACAGTTACATCCCTGCCCAGTTCCTCTACCAGGGATACTCTTTTAACTAGGTTAGATGTGTCGTAAATCAGTTCCTCGTTCCTTGTCATCTCCCTATCATTTTGCTTACTGTTCTCTGAATTCCTTCCAGTTTGTCTCTATCTTTCTGGCAATGGGGTGCCCAGGACTGTATTTGTGTGAAGTGCCCTAATAAAGGCAAACTGTCCTCTCCTACTCTGAGCAGAGGGTGAAAAATTTACACTGCTGAGAGAAGTAGTTAAGTCAACTTAAGCCCCAGCATAGACCTGCTAAGTTGATGGAAGAATTTTTCCCTCAACCTAGCTACCACCTCTTGAGGGGGTGGATTAGCCACAGTGATAGAAAAACCCCTAGGCTGTGTCTATATTGGCAAGATTTTGCACAAAAGCAGCTGCTTTTGCGCCAAAACTTGCAGCCTGTCTACACTGGTCGCAAGTTCTTGCGCAAGAACACTGATGTTCTAATGTAAGAAATCAGTGCTTCTTGCACGAGAACTATGACGCTCCCGCTCAGGAATAAGCCCTCTAGCGCAAGTGTTCTTGCACAAGAGGCCAGTGTAGACAGGCAACATGAATTTCTTGTGCAAGAAAGCCCAATGGTTAAAATGGCCGTTGGATCTTTCTTGCGCAAGAGAGCGTCTACACTGGCACAAATGCTTTTGCGCAAAAGCACATCTCTTGCGCAAAAGCACATGCCACTGTAGATGCTCTCTTGCGCAAATACTTTAACGCAAAAACTCTTGTGTTAAAAGTATTTGTGCAAAATCATGCCAGTGTAAACGTAGCCCTACTGTAACTATAGCAAGTGTCTATGCTACTGCACTACAATGTCATTGCTGCTGCACCACTGCTGTGCTGTAGCACTGTAGACAAGCCTGGAAAAAGAGAATGTAGTTTCCCTGCTGTATGCTGAGTTTCTCAACTCTTCCAAACTGTTATTGTGGTGAGAACAGTTGGTGGAAGTAGTATTTGGCAAGGAGCATATAATTTCTCTCAAAACCTAATACAGGCTACGTCTAGACTACATGCCTCTGGCGACAGAGGCATGTAGATGAGGCTACCAGGCATAAGAAAATGAAGCGGCAATTTAAATAATAGCTGCTTCATTTAAATTTACATGGCTGCCGCGCTGAGCCGATCAGCTGTTTGTCGGCTCAACACGGTAGTCTGGATGCTCCGCGGTCGACATCAAAGGCATTTGTCGACCTCCCATGTATGCCTCAAATGCCTTTGATGTCATTGGCCAAAGCTCACTGATGTCAAAGGATAAACTCCCATTGATTTCAGTGAGCTGACGTAGCCACAGTCTTCACCTCCCTGCTACGAACTTGAATACATGCTGGTGATAAGGTGTACATATTTTTGGACAAGATGGAAGAGGGAGAGGCAGCTGGTGACCCCAAAGAAATACATGCCTTTGCTTGCCCCCAGCATGTCTCTTTGTTCCACAAGCTGCTTCTGCAATTTTACTGTGGTTCCAAATGCAACATTTGCAGAATTTCCCCAGGTCTAATAATATGCCCATAACAAAGATACCTATTTCCTCAAACAATGAATGATCACGTTCTCCTCTCCCTAAGGCAGCAGTTCTCAAACTTTTTGGGCTCCAGAGCCCTTTACATGCGTAAAAATTTATGTGGAGCCCCAGCGGTCCACTGATTGTATGTGTTGTACCTATTGATGTTTCCAGTTTGTCAACCTTGCGGAGCCCCTGGAGATGTCTCGTGGCTAGAGCACAGTTTGAGAAACACTGCCCTAAGGCAACACACCTTTCCCCTTTCTCTGAGCAATGAGAGATTCTTGCAGGTGCTTCTCAGCGTGTCCTCTCCCCCGAGATGCTCATCTTCACCATGCATGCTTCCATTTGGGAGAGTATGTCTACACTGCCACCCTAGTTTGAACTAGGGTGGCTAATGTAGGCATTCGAAGTTGCAAATGAAGCCCGGGATTTAAATATCGCGGACTTCATTTGCATTTTGCCAGGCGCCGCCATTTTTAAATCCCTGTTCCACGAGGAGTAACGGTAGTTCGAATTAGAGAGCCTAATTCGAACTACCTACTCTGTGCCGCGTGTAGCCGAGGGCACGGAGTCCGCACTAACGGGGATTTAAAAATGGCGGCGCCCAGCAAGATGCAAATGAAGCCCGGGATATTTAAATCCCAGGCTTCATTTGCAACTTTGAATGCCTACATTAGCCACCCTAGTTCGAACTAGGGTGGCAGTGTAGACATACCCGGAGATACTACACTCATCCTATGCACACTTCTCCCATGTTGGCGTCCTGAGATAACTTTTTGTGATAGGATGCCTATACAACAGCTTCTTTGTAGAACACCTGGCTTCAAGAATGCTTCTCTCTCTCAGTGTCTGCTCCTGTTGAGACTTGCATCTCCGTTACATTCATGCTCCAGCGTTGTCCCTCTCTATCCTCTTGGGAGAGCAGAGTAAGCACCAATATCACCTTCCTGCCCATTTATTGTTTCAAAACAAAAACACTGTTAATGACAGTTATGGTGGCAGAGCTACCTTGTATTTCTCCTGACTGAGTTTAAAGTTTCACCAGCATGATTAGCTTGGCCACGTGCAATCTAATCTATATGTGTATTTAACACAAACAATAAAATACATGTGCAGAAGAAAGATAAATAAAATATACTATGTATAAATCAGTATGGCAGTTAATCTTGCTTGAGGAAACTCTTAACTTTTGCATTGCCTATCTTTTTGTGATTTTTAGCTGCTGACTTACAGTACAATTCCACTTTGCAAGGCTTGTATGTAAATGACATCATGGGGCTTCATTTTTATCATCTGCCAGCAATTCCAGATCAAATGGGCTCAGTTTATGTGTAAAAAGATTTTACAGAAAAACAAACAAAACTGTGCAGTGGAATGCTCGTCTAAAAGAAAACTTAGAAACTTTGTTCTTTTTTTTTCCTTGCCACCTACCCCATTTTCTCTTTCTTCTTAATTGTCAAATTACTGTTGTACCTTATCATTATAAAAAAGAAAAGCTTTATATCATTTTACAGTTTTAAATTTGTTTTTCTAACTGGCAGTTTCATAAGCTCAGCTCGGCTCTGAAAGTCAGTTGGGCTTTTTCCAACTCTCACCTCTACTACTAACAGAACTTCTGCACACTTACATCTGTGTCACCCCACTGCCTTAATGTTTGCTCTCATTGACACTTGGGCAATCTCATCGCCTTCAGTGACTGTGCACAGGTGTAACTTTTTGGAGATTAGTAAGTGTATCTGTATATGTGGCACAAGAAAAATGAAATCCAACTCCCCTTCTGTGAGCTGTACTGACTTTGCAGGGTGAATAAAGGTGAAAAACAGGAAAATCTCATTTTAATCACTAAAATCAGCCTCTCTGGCTCTGAATATGCGTAAGGAGAAGGTTTGCTGAGTCAATGGCCATTTTCAGTGTCACTTTTCAGACTTGAAATGCACTATATGTTATTTGTAATTAAGAAAAAAGTAAAATGCAACACCGGTGGCTTCCTAGGGGCATGCATGCAATGCTTATAACAGCATATATTGTTGGAACTTCAAAAATTGTGTACTCCTTCAAATGCACTCTTACTACATCTGCTGTTAAAGAAACATGCACTTAATGGAGGCATTGGCACTGCATTTGCAAGAAATGCACCTGGATCTCCACGAAGTCAGCTGGGAGCCACTTGGGGACCTCCCTCTCTTTTCCAAGTAGAGGTCATCTGAGACATGCATGAAGAGAGAGGCAGGGACTTTCTAATTGTTGGGGCACACCTGACCCCCAGCTTTGCCCCAGGACCTTCCCTAACTCTATCCCTTCTCTGAAGTTCCCCGCCCAACACACATTTTCCTGTCCCATTCCATTCCCTCCCCCAAGTATGGCTCACCCTACATTTTCCCTCTCATTCCCAGTGCCTTGAACCCACCATCTTGCACTCTCTAGGCAATTGCCCTAGTTCCTAGGCTATTGGAACAGTTGAGTTCTATGGGGGACTGGAGGTGCTTGGGGGAAGGGGAGACATTGATCATTGGGGCTGTTGGAATGCTGAAGGCTTTGGGGGAGGGGGAGGAGCTGATAGGCAGGGGCTGCAAGTGGGTGCTCAGCTCAGCGCTAACCAT